TCAAATAGTTATTTGCACAAAAATTACAAGCAGTATACATCTTGTTGATCCATTTACAGGAAAAGGTAATAATAATTTTAGGAGTTCTTGAATATACTTTTTTTTTTTTTTTTTGAAACTGATGTTGTTGTTTTTGTTAAAGAACATACAATTATTAGAGGGACTAGCAAGTCCCGAGATATGTTGTGATCATATTAAAGAAAATGTTAAAAAAAAAATTCTGAGTAAATTTTTTTTGATTAAAACTAATTAATAAATGTATACCAAGAAAAACAAATCTTGTTGTTTTAAAGCGTGTACACGAAATAAATGTGAAAGAATAAGTACATTTTTTTTTTTTTCAGTGGTTATATTAAAATCTTTTTAATTGTTTTGTATTTTGTTTACAACGTGTTGTGGTTTCAAAAAAATGTATTAGTTTTTTAATTAAACTTAAAATTAGTTTTAAAAACGACAAAAGAAGAAGACATAAGAGGAAAAATTATGCACAAATATTTGGAAAATCCCAACAGTAGCTAAAATTTGATAGCAAAAACGTTGCAAATACATCCATACACCGTTACCCAGTGGACACGGACGTAAAAAAGATGTCTTTCATAAGTCTTATACACGTTTTGGATGTTGTTTGAACGTCTTTTGAACATTTTAAAGATAAAAAGCTAGTTAGAGAACTAGTTAATGGTTTTAAGACACCCCAAGCCATTCACTAAGGGAGCGAGCAAACATTTATGGACTTTCTCATAGTTTTGTTGTAAAAGTCTGAAATAAACATGATTTTCATTCTTTCAAACCGCAAAAAGTGCCCAACCGATCTGAAACTCAACTAGAACTTTATTTCGCTTAGTCAGCGTATTTTTTGAACCAATAGAATTAGTTTGTTTGTAAATTTGGTGGGTTTTAGTGTGAATATTCTTTTTATTCTTTTGCAAGATGTTTTAAGAACATTCAAGTTAATTATGTTTCCATGTATGTCCATAAAATAAAAAATAATATATATTAATTTTTTAATTTTTAAGCCCCTGCCATAATATATATTGGATGTTATAATAATGGAAATATAAATAATGAAATAAGATCACCTTAATGCCAAAAAATAAATTTTTGAAAATCAGAGAAAAAATGCATTAATAATTTTTTTTTTAATATTTACAAAGTAAATTAATAAAAGTGCGTTATTATTTAGGTTAAAAATTATTTTATCTAACATTTTAAAAGAAAAACTTATAACAAAAGAAAACAAAATACATGTGGTCTAGACGATTATTTAAAAAAATTTGCGCAAATAAAAAAATCAATGACGTCCTGTACTAAAACTTCTATGAATTAAATGCACTTGAATAAATTATCAAGTCTGTATAATGCGCCTGGAAAATCGTATTTATTTTACAGACTCAAAATACCGCAGAAAATGGAGAAGACGAGCTTCGACTAAAACAACAAGATTTTTTTGGTATACCTTTTCTTGGTATACATTTTACAGTTTTAATCAAAAAAAATTTACTCAGACGTTTTTTTTTAACATTCTCTTTAATACGAACACAACATGTCTCAGGACTTGGTAGTCCCTTTAAAGAACAAAGTAAAATTTAAGGTTTTTTTTATTTAAAAAATAAATAATTTTTAAATCTATGATAAATATTCTTTGTTAAAAAATTATATTTTTTTAGAATAAAAAAAAATAGTTTGACATTTTTTATTTACCTTAACTGATATGGAAGATACAAAAGCAAGATGGCTCATCGAGCACATTACCGTTCATAAATAAGGAAGATCTAAATTATTGCGATAACGATTGGCTGAAAAAATTTGTTTTTTATCTGAATTAAAGTTCACCAGCTACAGTGAGCCTCATGCTGTAGCAGAAGTGTGATTCTTTTCAAGCTCAAATGCCCCCTCCAAAGCAATCAGAGAGTTTTGGCTTCTAATCAAGACAAGAATAAATGGTAGTATCATCAGCAAACATTTCAACCTTAGGTGTGAGAATATCTGGACGATCGTTAATGTAAATTAAAAAGTGTATAGGGCCAAGGATTGAACCATAAGGAACCGCTGAACTTACAGGAAGAAAGCTTATGGAGAAGATCAGCATGCCAAACTTTATCAAAAGCTTCAGAAATATTAAGTGCGATAACCTTAACCTCTTCACCTCTATCTAATGCACGATAAAACCTATAGGTTATTGCACGATAAAACCTATAGGTTAACAAATCAGCTGTAGAACAAGAAGATCGAAATTCATATTGATGATCAGAAAATAAGTTAATAGATTTAAGATGAGAGATCTAGTGTTTGTTAAAGATTCAAAAACATTGCTTATGATAGGAAGAACACTAATAGGACAATAGTTAGACAAGTCAGATTGCTCTCCAGAATTTTTAAGCATAAAGTTTTTGTGTGTGTGGACGAGCGTGAAATAACTTGGGCTGGCTAATTGGAGAAGACTGAAGCTGTAGAAGAGTCTAATCAGGAAATCACTTTAAATACATAAGCTGGAGTGATACAAATGTCAAGCAAAGGATCAACCTGTTTAACAGTTATATCAGGTAGTACGCAACTAGTGAAATCAAGAGATAATATTGATGAAAAGTTCTTAGCAAATTATTTACCTTTTTCATTAGGTGAGGTGACAAAGTCTGAACCATACAAAAGAGGTGGAATAACAAATTTGCACTTATTATTAATACTGATTCTCCAGAAGTCACGAGAGTCTAATTTTTGAGATGAAATCTGAGATTTCATGACCTGAAAATAGCAGGCTTAGGCATTAGACAAAACCTTTTTACAATGGTTTCTAGCAATAGTAAACAGACGTCTGTTTTCTGGAGAATTGTTTTTCTGATAGATATGGACGTAACGGTTTCGATTGGAAATTGCAGCAGCACCTTGTGAGGAAAACTATGGAGAAGAGTGAGTTCACAAAGTTATGTAAGAAGCACATTTTTCAGCAGGAAGGCGAAAGATTTCTACCCAAGGGTCATCACAAAGAATATCATAGAAATAGCCCCAGTCAGCTTTAAGGTAATTGTAGAAGGTACAATAATAGAGGGATTCTGATGTAAAAGATGAACGTTAAATGAGAAAATAGTTTTAGAGAGATCAAAATGTGATCAGAAGTACCCAAGGGTGAATGTGAAGAAATTGAGCACTGACTAGGATCAGAAACTAGACATATGTCAAGTAGAGGAGGTAAATGATTTAGGTTGTCAGGAAAGCAAGTTAGAAAGTTCACTCTTTGAGTTAGAGGTTGAGAAAAGCAAAAGATGTGGGCCTTAATGCTTTCAGAGTTTCATTGACACTAGAGCCAAGCCATTCAGTGTTATTAGCATTAAAGTCACCAATAACAATGATATTGGCTGATGGATAAAGAGAGAGGGCTTGGTCAGCTGTTCATTGTGTAATGCTTGTAAAATCTTTGTAATTTAATGATTCGCAAATGTATGACCTTTCTCCAAAAGATTTAAAGTATAATAATGGCTACTTCAACTTTTAATTTTTTCTGTTTTTGAAATGTTAGGGTTTTAATGATGAATTTTCAAGGCATTGTAGATCTTTTTTTTGTTTATTTTCCAGTTAGGTCAGGAATGCTAATAAGGTTTGCCACATAAATATTCACCCTTTTCTAGCTTTTTAACACATACTTTATTTTCAAAGTAATCTCATTATGTATTCTTGTTGTGGCTATTTCATTTGTATCTGTGACAAGCAATCAAATTTAAAGAAGCTTTAAAACTTTAAATACTCAATATACATATAGTACATATATAAGTACATTAAAGTATTTGTATTTTGGAATGAAAATTTACAGCAAAAGCAATATTTAGACCTAATAAAATATATTCATAATATTTTGAATTGTGAGCTTAAATCATCTTTTAATTTCATAAGTGCCATCAAGAATTATTGAGTAATTTGAATTTATACAGGAGGAAAAAAAAATTTTTTTTTTTTTTCCTCCTGTAAAATTAAGTTTTCTCACAAATAATTACAATTATGAAATAATAAAATTATCATTATCTCAAAATTAACATAAATTTGATAATAAAATTTTTAAAAACATTTTTTGTAGTTGTTGAGTTATTGGCGTCTGCTTATTGGAGAGATCCTTTTAATGCGTTTACATCAACAAAACAACTTTCTGAATTTACTGTCCTTGATACAGAAAAAGATTTTGAAACTATGAATTCCAAGGTAAATTTAAAGGTTCAACCTAATTTCAAAAGTTTTAAGTTTAAATAAAAATATTTCATTCTATTTAATTTTATTTTTTTGTACAGTGCATTCTACATATTTGCTCTCATGGTATGCAGTGGCTTGTATTTCAATTTTTTATAATGAATTCTCCTTATAAATACATATATTATCATTTACAAATATTATTATAATATTTACATATATAATAATATATAATGCTAAGAACTTAATGAGACTGCTCCCATCAACATTTTCTAGCGTAAAAATCTAAACATTGAACTTAATTAAAATTTTCAACAGACTTTTACTGATTTAAAAAATCTTGAAAACTTAACACTTTTGTGAACAAAAAATATTGGAAAGAATAAAAAATAAAACCTAAAATAAAACTAAAATAATATTTATTTTATTAAAATGATTAAAAGTTATAATTGTTGTATAATTACTTTAGTATTGCAAAGCTGATGTTTATCTTATGAAAAATAATGATTCATCTGGCTCTGATGGGCAGTTTCATTGTCGAACACATCTTGGACACTTGCTTTCTGCCGGAGATATTGTTGCTGGGTACGCTATATATATATATATATATATATATATATATATATATATATATATATATATATATATATATATATATATATATATATATATATATATATATATATATATATATATATATATAAATCTTCTTTTTATGGATTAATTTCTATTTGCTAAAAATATATTTATTTTATTTTAATATTTCAAGGGAATATTGATACCCTCATTATCAAGTATAATCATATATATATATATATATATATATA